TTTGCGCACATTGACGACCATGGTGGCGCATTTCCTTGGCGCTTTCCCGCCACTTCAGCGGACAGATCTGGTCGCAGCCGTAAAATCAAGGGTGAATTTGCGACTGAACAAAACTGGCAGTTTCGAGCTGCGCCTTCTCGTCAAACGATCGGTCGGATTGCGGAGTGGGAACGGAGACCTAATCTTTTCGTCTGGCGGCTGGTTTCTTTTCTCTTTTAGCTCTTTCGAGCGCGGTTTCTGGCTCTGGGGCGGGGAGCTGCAGCCTTGGGCGAGCCTGCGCCTGGGGCGGCTGCCGCGGAGAACGAGAGCCGGCGCAGCCCTGCTGTCCCGGTTCGGCCCCTGCCGGGCCCGCCCGCTGCCGACGCCGCTGCCGCCGCCGGCCCGCGCGCTCCCCGCGCGCCCGGGGCTGCCGGGACTCGGGGGCGGGGCCGGGGCGGAGCCCGCCCCACGCCTCGGAATATCCTACCACGCAGCTGCGCTTGTGTTTTGGAGGTTTTTTCCCCCCCTTTTACTGGAATGTTAAGAACTTTGTCGTACGCTAGCTTTTCAGAGATTTATGGACTTTGTTGGTTTTAAGACTAAAATCATTAATTTAGTTCTTGATAGAGCGTTAAATGTGGTTTGCACAGTCTTAAGGATAGCCTCTTTTAAGGCAAAGAATTCGTTCAAACTTAGGGCAAATTTTGCATAACATGTATTCTTCTATTTGCATTTTTAAACAGAAACCAAGGTGTATGTTGGTAACCTGGGAACTGGTGCTGGCAAAGGCGAGTTAGAGAGGGCTTTCAGTTATTATGGTCCGTTAAGAACTGTGTGGATTGCCAGAAATCCTCCAGGATTTGCCTTTGTGGAATTTGAAGATCCTAGAGATGCAGAAGATGCAGTGCGAGGCCTGGATGGGAAGTAAGTAAAATGTCGGTTATGAAACTTAGAGTCATTAGACTATTCATGTGGGCTGGGTAGTAAGCTAGATACTGAGCTTGGATTCTATAGTCTGAAGGCGACTAAATAGCTAGTCGTAATTTAATTAAGAATGAAGGGAGGGCAAAGGTGGAGTTGGAAGGGCTTGTAAGGAGAGCTGAAGCTTGTGAGGGGGAAGAGTGGTTGGAAAGTTCTAAATGGAAGCCACGTGCTTTTTTTTAGCATTAGAATTTTGTTGCATATCTTTTATAGGGTGATTTGTGGATCCAGAGTGAGGGTTGAACTATCAACAGGCATGCCTCGGAGATCTCGTTTTGATAGACCACCTGCCCGACGTCCCTTTGATCCCAATGATAGATGCTATGAGTGTGGCGAAAAGGGACATTATGCTTATGATTGTCATCGCTACAGCCGGCGAAGAAGAAGCAGGTATTTACTTTAATAAGGGAATGGTCGGTATATTGGTTAATCGAGTAATTCTTTTATTAGCAAGGCAGAAACTAATATATTTCTATAATCTTGAATGTTAATTGTACAGGTGTATTTTACAATTTTTGTTTAATTAAATAAATGTTAATATATTAATAATCAACCTGGTCAAAACCTTTCAGGTTTCTTCGTTTGAGTCAGTCGCCTTGATTCAGAATGTCACGAGCCTTATGATATCATGCTGAGGCGCCTTGCAAATCCGACAATTAAGATCCTCCTAGACCTTGAGGTGATCAGCATAAGAGGCCAGATCCCCTCGAGTCATCTACACCTAGCTTCACCTTATTCTTTAAAGGGCAGAAAATTTGAGACGGTCATCGCCGTAACAGTAAATTTGGCTTACATTTGGGGCCCCCTCCGGTTTAGAAAGAGGAACACCAGATTGACCACATTCCCAACTAGAAAAATCTTCTTGCGTCAATCAAGCCTCACCTGGCTCATTTGGCTGTCAGTTTGATCGTCGTTAGATTGAAGAAAACATCTAGATGCAGCGATCGGCTATAGATACTTCTAGATCGTCTAGATCTACTAGACCATGGGCCAAAGAGGGTCGACCTGCAAACTTGCAAGGTTTATTTTAAATACACATTACAGTGTTTTATATTATGTAATTCTAAGATGTAATTCAGCTTTTAACAAATCTTTTTTTAGGTAGTAAAAAAAAAAAAAAAACTAATAGGCCCAGAGTTTATTTCCAAATGAGACACTAAATTTAAATAGTTATGAGATTTGATTTCAGCAGAGGCACACAAACTCTAAAACCGAGTTATCATCTGACATCTTGTTTTTTTCTAACTTGAAAAATAGGTCACGGTCTAGATCACATTCGAGATCCAGAGGTAGGCGATACTCTCGCTCACGGAGCAGGAGCAGGGGAAGGAGGTGAGAGATGTTGCTTATTTCAAGTTTTAACAAGCAATGAAAGACTTTAATTGGAGATGGACTTAAACATCTTGATTTAATTTTTAGGTCAAGATCAGCATCTCCTCGACGATCAAGATCTGTGTCTCTTCGTAGATCAAGATCAGCCTCACTCAGACGATCTAGGTCTGGTTCTATAAAAGGATCGAGGTATTTCCAGTATGTAACACTTTTCTTTCCCTTATTTATCTATTTGGATTGTCATGTCTTAATGACAGCAGTAGAGTGTCTTAAGGACATAATTGAAGTGGAATACTTTGGAAAATATTTGAGATTTAAAAGTTGAATTTATACACGACCTGTAAATGGATATTACCCTAGTTGTATAGATGAAGAGAAGCCCGCTGAAGATTTTAAGGGTTGTTGCAGGGGCCATGGTAGAGGGAGGGTCTAAAGTATAAATCTCAAATCATTCCAGTGAACACTGGGTAGAAAGGTTGGTGAAAACATTTTGGAGTCAGGTTATGTTTATTGTATAGGTAAATGATAACCAGCTCTAAAAGAGAGTTGCTGATCCCTGATAAGAAGGCCCATTAGAAACCAGAAAGAGGGGCCGGCCTGGTGGCGCAGCAGTTAAAGTGCGCACGTTTCACTTCAGAGGCCCGGGGTTCAACAGTTCCAATTCTGGGTGTGGACATGGCACCGCTTGGCACGCCGTGCTGTGGCAGGCATCCCGGGTATAAAGTAGAGGAAGATGGGCATGGATGTTAACTCAGGGCCAGTCTTCCTCAGCAAAAAGAGGAGGATTGGCAGCAGTTAGCTCAGGGCTAATCTTTCTTAAAAAAAATAATAAAATCCAATCAAAGAAACCAGGAAGAGATTTGCAGTTAGAAGCAAGTTGAAACGTAGTTTCTCTTTTTTGGAATGATTGGGGTGAATTTGAGACCATGGAAAGTTGTTCACCATGGTAGTAGTGTACATATGGGTGAATATGGCCTGTTGAACCTAACGCTTAGTTTAGACAGCAAAATTTAAGAAGTTGGAAACCAAACTGCGAACTTCACCTTTTTTTTTTTTAACTTCCTTTGTAGAAGGCCTTAGAAGTAGAAATTGATAAAATTCTAGAAAACAAGGAGTTCACAATACTCTAGGGAGTTAGTGCTGTTCATTAATATCACAAAGTCCTTAAATGCAGGAATTCTAAAACTTGTGGTTCATTTGAGAAAGATCTGGACCCTCTCTTTAGAAAATTGCATTTATTTTGATCCCAGGATGCCGACATGCGTATGTCAGAGCCTGATTTGGTTTATGTGACAAATTGATGGTCATGAACCATGATAGCTTGTCGATGATCCAAGAATAAAGCCTTACCCACTCATGACTTCCTTTTCATTGAGCTTATCACCTAAAGAATTGAAGTCTGAGTTCAGGAGTCTATGTGAGGTTGATTTTATTCCTTTAAGATAAAATTAAATCATACAGTCTTCTCAAATGAAAACCATCTGTTTTATTTCTCTTGGGTACCACACACTGGTTAAGAATATTGTGCTTCCGTACAGGAACTTTGACAATTAACCCAGCTAACTGAGTATGATAGAAACAAATAATTGAGATAGTGGTTCCTTGTTTATTTGATATCAGAGCTTGTTGAAAGTGTGATCTTTTGTCCAGTCTCAGACTTTTATAAGGCAAGAGTTGCATCTTGCTCAGTTTTAGCCCGTCTATTCCTAACCTACTTAATAAGGTGCTCAGTAGGTGTTTAAGAAAATTACTCCTACAGACTAATTGGTAAATTGTCTTTTTGGTTTTCTTTTTATTAAGATCCCGGTCGAGGTCAAGATCAAGATCCAGGTCTCTTTCACGACCAAGAAGCAGGTAGGGTAAAAGTCTGATTAGTGCTCTTATAGTTATATGGCACCAATATCCAAAGAGTTCAAAGTGTTTTGAATTGTTGAAATTTCAAGCGGTAACTCTGAGCCTAGGTGTTAAGTGGGAACACAGTACCTTATTAATAAACCAAACTTTAGTACTTCATTTATATTTGGCCTGTTCTGGCTGACTTCCTGGACAAAGGAATGTCAAGTTATAGTGGGAAAGAAGTTTGTGACTTTGGGGTTATATTAAGAGGCCCTTGTTAGAACTGATAGGTGCATGGAGAAGCATTCTGAGATAATTGTGCTTAAAGCAGAGTGTAAAAGATTAATTGTAATAAAATAAAGCACTTCACTCATTTTATGAA